ATTGAGTGGCAAAGTTTACCAAGTGGGCATGGTGGCATACGCCTGTAGTCCCAGCACTTTGCGAGGCTGAGGAAGAGGATCCAAATTTGAACCCACCCTAAATTTAGAGACTTAGTGAGTGCCTGTCTCAAAATTCAAAATACAAAAAAAAAAAGCTGGGATGTAGCTCAGTACTAGCAAAAAAAAAATACCTTTAAGGTAAAACAGACCTGGCCTGAACAAGAATCTGAGTTGCAGTTTCTTTATTTTTAGAATGGGTAAATCCTACCAACTTTACAAGGTAGCTAGGGAGATTAGAGATGATACTGCAGCCTTCGCGAGCCAGAGCAGGACTCAAAGAAGCACTCAGTGAACACTAGATCTTGATACTATTACTGTTGCTCTGGCTTGGCCCCGAACCCTCCGCGACAGCCGAGCTCTGCAGGTAGGCAGGGCCTCCTTGCCACATGCTACAGCTCAGGACTCTTCCTTGTTTTCAACTTCTTCCACCTCAAGAGGAAAAAATCAGGATGCATACTGCCTTGTCACACAGCACCCACGAACCGTTTCCCATTCAATTTCCCCATCAAATGCACAGGCACGTACTGCGTGCCATTATTCCATTTCCTAATGGGCCGTGCGGTGGCAATTGTATGTAGGACCTTTCTCCGCACCCTTGGCACTTCCAGGCCTTCGAAACTCTCTTTCTGGGCCAGACCCCCTCTCTAGCAGCTGCAGCCTGCCTCGCCCTCCCCTAAGTGCTGCTATCATCTGCACCAGGTCTCTGCTCATCGGATGTATAAGTAAGCCAGTAACTTGTTTCTTTGGAGAACAATCTCTGCCTGACCCCTACCCCATGAAGGTGATGGGTGCTGGGTCCAAGGTCAAAGAGAAGACTGTCTTGAGCTCCCCTTGCAGGCCACTCCAAGCTGTGGGACTTTGGAAACATCCTCAGCTGTAAAATGGGATGGTAACACAGTCAGCACAACACCTTGCAATGCCACATGCTGACTTCAAGTTCAAGAATGGTGGGGAGGACTGTGGAGGTACTGGGGCAGGTTGGTGGAGCCCAGCAGAGATGATTTATCAACCAGAAGGGAAATGGTTGAGCACCGAAGGACTGAGAAGCGAGTCTAGCTAGAGATGAAGTGCAGGGTGCTGAGTGGAATAAACCCCAACACAAGCCAAGGAGCATTTATCCAAGGAAGGGCCCAAGAGCAAGGGTAAAAACCACAGCCGGATATGCACTGGCCATCTTTCAGATGAGCAGAAGTTCTGTGTTCTGCTCCCAGCTGGACTGGACTCGTTCTTCCTCTGGTTCAGTATAGTTGGAACTAGAGCAAGGACATCTGGCTGGGTCAAACCAGGATCCTTTTATCTCTGACCCTTGTAGACTCAAAAGAGAGGATTGCTCCCCTCACCTGCAGGTGGGTGTAAGTGCATTCTTACGCATCACGTGGGTATGCACCTGGACGCGTGTACGTGAATGTGCATACATGTGTGTGGGTATGTGTGTTAAAGGCCACACACCACCCGAATCTTCCCCCTGTGCCTTTCTCTGCACATACCTCTCCTTCCAAGATGCTGGCACCTGCCTCCTCCCTGCCTTGGTGCACTGCTCAGGGCCTCACCTGGCACAGGCACCTGGAGCTAGCTTCCACCTGGGAGGACTCGGATCTGGCTTGACCAGTATGAGTCCCTGGCACGTTGGAATGCAGAGCTGATGGGTGTGTTGATTTGCACAGCACACATCCGTCTCTGCCGGTGTTACCCACCCCCTGAGCCTGCGGAAGAGTCTTAATTTATCAGAGATCCCCGATTGGCAGCAGGCAGGCACATTCACAGAAGCCCAGTAGAGACTTCCAATTAACTTTTAATTTCACTCCTGTCTTCATTTGTTCATTTCAGTTTTTCCAAACAGAGACTGGAAAAAAAAAGGGGCTGTGATTTGTGGAGTCTGAAGTCAGCCAAGGGCCCTGTCGTCTTCACCTGCAGCTGCAATAAGACCTAGGATATCTCGCAAGGAAGACCCTGCCTCTCCAGACCCCAGAGCCTCTGTTCTTCTAACCCTTTGTCATTTTTTTCTAGACCCAGCACCAGGGCCCTCTCTGATTTGGGAAAGACACCCCAACCCTGAGATTAGCTAGTTCCTGAATAGATTTTCCATATGCAAACCAAGCAATCCAGAATGCACACCCCAGCCACCTCCTTCCCTAACCTTCTGGACCTATGTTGGCCCATCCAGGCCCAGATATCAGGCAAATAAAGATAGCTCGGGTTGCTAAAAATATTCATGCCCCCTAACCCTGAATCTGCTGACCCTGCTTCTCCCATTCCTCCTGCCTCTTCCGTTCCTCCCCACAAGTGGCTATAAACACTCTCACCCTTGCCTCCCCTCACTCCCTCTGCCTCTCTGGGGGTCCCGCATGACACTGGGTGCCCTCTGCTCTCAGGAATTGTAACCAGCTTCTGAACTGCAGTCACCTCGGGGTGTACCTGAATTACAATAAAGCCACATCTGTAAGCAGTGTCTTCGGTGGGTTGCCAAGAACTAGAAAGGAAGGCGGGCTGGTTAATCAAGGCTTCCCCTGTGCTCATCTATTTTGCAAATGTCACTTCTGTCCCGAAACAAAAGAAGGTCATAGGAGGTGTCACATCAGGGCCTCCTGCACACCTGCCCTGCACTCAGCCCGCCTCCACTTCCAGTCTGGAGGTCTCTGTGCATCGTCATGGCTCTGAGAGCCCCCAGGTTCCTCGTCCTTGCTATTTCTCCTTCTCTGCTCCTCCATCCCTTCCATATCAGATGCCTTCTCACTGTCCTGTGCAAGGTGGTTCACGGGCTCCCATTCTGCGCCACCTTCTTGTTCAGCTTCATCCCAGTGAAACCACAGTTTCCCCTGGGAAGCAGGCACAGCTGTCCCTTCAACCTTCATGACTGCACCCCAGCATAGGAGCCGGTGCATGGGGGACATCTGGTCAGTCTATGCCCCTACCTTTCTTAGCCAATTCTGAACCCTTTCTGGAATTTTTATTTTCAGATTCTGATAAATCACCTCATTAATCTCTCCTAGGGGAGGCAGCATGGCTTGATCGACTGTCAGGAAGTGGTCCCAGGTTTGAGTTGGGAACCTAAGTTCCCCAGAGCTGGGCTGTGTCTTCTGATCCCAGCGATTCTCCCAGAGTCCCTTCTGCACCTCGAAGGCTGTTTTAGGTACCCAGGGACACTGGTTCCAAGGGGAAACACTGCATTCCCAGACTGCTGGGAGGATTAAATGACTTGATTTATCCACAGCACCTAGGACTCACTCCCATTCTCCCTTACTCCCCTGACTACATAAGGAGTAAGAACTCACTCACCACCAGGGAAAGTTTTCAGCCATCCCTGCTTGCCAGTCACTGAGGGACAGGCCAAGTCATACCTGTCAGTATGTAAAACCTGGAATCTGCAAAGGAGAACTGAAGTGTCCATTTACAAGCAGACTGAGAGGACATCAGAGATTCCATTACCACTGCCAAAAATCGGGGCGACCATCTATCCCTCGCTAAAGGAGCTGTGAGCCTCAAATGCCATTCTTCCTGATCCCCCTGAATGAAGACACAGTCTACACCGGCTGTTGTTCCTGCTATGAAGCCCCCTATGTGTTGTAGGGTTCACAAACGAGCCCAGGCCAGGCTCCAGTAGAAAGCAGATGCTGTGCCTGGGGTACTCGGTGACAGCAGATGTGGTAAAAGTTGGAACAGGATCCTGGAAGGAAAGAGGTCCAATGAAGGAAATGTTGATTTGCGAGGACGGGGGACAGGGAAGGCGCAGCCTTTGACCCTACTCTGATGGGTTTGAAGGATGTCCAACAGCAAGCCTAAGGAGGCCTGGCCTGCTGAGAGTTAGCCTGAGCCCTGGCCCAGAGGCTGCAAAGCAAGGCATGCTACACAGTGATCTGGAGACAAATTCAGGGGAAATTGATGCTGGTACATAGAAGGCAGTGAACACTTGCAAAAGGAGTTAGAGTTTTCTCCCAAGGTCAAAGTCTTCAGCACCTAATTCCTGCAATGTGTGTTTGCTTCCTAGACCTCCAGAATGGTTTTTATTTTTGTTTTTCAACTAGGTGACACTATTAAATATGGAGATTGAGCACGTGACTGTTTGACCACTCAGCTGCTTTAGATCACGTGTGGACTAGGAAGGGCGGGCCAGCCCCTGGCACCCTTGGCTGGGTGAGGGTCCTCCCTTGACTTTACCTGCTGGGCCCAGTAGGCAGCAAGAGCTTGAGACCCTGCACTGGCTGCTGGGCACCCTTAGAGGACCTTGGCCAGGGAAGGGGCAGAGTGAGATCTGTGCTTCAGAAGGTCCAGTTGATAACCATTAATACCAGGATGTATTAATACCAGTGGGTGTGCGATGAGGAGGACAAGGAGGGAGATGAGACGCTAATATTTACCGAGGCTTCATGACACAGCCTGCAGTCACAGCTGGTAAGTGGCAGAGCCCTGTACTTTGGATCCAGGATCCACAGCACTGGTGATATGGGGGTTGGGTGCGGTTGGGGGGTGCGGGTCTTCCCTCGGCCAGTCACCATGGAAGGGGAGAGGTTGTGTCCTGCTCCTATCTGGGTGCTAATGCGATGTCCTTTCCCCACCCACTTCTCAGCAAAAACCAGCCAGGCAGGAAAGGAGGGCAGAGGTGGTCAAGAGCGGGTCAGGTGATTTGGCTGCAGGCCCTGGCTCCAGCCTCCCTGCTGTGTCCTGGTCCTCCTCCCTTGACCAGCTAAATGCTGACCCCACACACAGGGACAGGACCCATTCCCCCACCACGCCTAACCTGGATCCACCTGCCGCCCAGCTCACCACACCCAAGCCTCACTTGCAGCAATTTGCAAAAGAGAAAACAAAGCAGACACACAGACTGACCAACCCGATGCATTTCCTGGCATGAGGTGACTGGTTAAAAGCTTCCTCCTTCTTTGAATGCTGGCTGGACATTTGGACCGCCCCCCAGCTGCAGGACAAGTTGCAGCCTCAGGTGGCTGATCTCAGGCTGAGCCTCTAGGCAGGCTCCGCCCCACCCCCCGGGGAAGGATCCAAGGAGGCTGGCGGCTGAGGCCTGCCATCCCTAGCCCCAGTGGCTACTCTGTGCCAACTCAAAGTCACCTTTGCTCCAACTATTCAGCTGGCTGGACCCAGCCAGCCAAGGACGCCCTCCCACTTGGCCCAGCGGGATCCAGGAACTGGTCCCTATTGGGCAATCATTAATCGGATTCTTGACATTCCTGGGCCTGGGTCAGCCTGAGAAGCATGCTCCCCAGAGAAGCAGAGGCCCAGGACTGGCATTTGGACATGCAGCTGACGGGCAAGGTAGTGCTGTCCGCTGTTGTGCTGCTCCTGGTGACAGCGGCCTACGGACTGTACAAGTCCAGGCCTGCCCGGGCGCCGCAGAAGGGTGGGAACACCGAGGCCAACGCTGAGAAGGAAGCAGAGGGCTCAGGGCAGCCTGCCGTCCAGAGTGCTTCTCCAGGAACACTCCAGAGGCGGCCAAGACGCCAGAGGGCCAGCCACGGGGCTGGAGCCCCATTGGGCTGCAGCTGGAAGGACCCGGGAGGACCCTGCGTCCCATTGCCGGGAGCAACTTGCAGAGACAGGAAGCCCGCAATTAAAGGTGGACAGTGCTTGGGCTCTGAGCAGGTGCCTCCTTGCTGCTGCGGCCAGGAAGCTGGAGCAGCTGTTGGCGGTAAGCCCACCCCTCCCTGCAGCTCTTCAGCTGGACTTGCCGCGGCAGTGGACGGCAGCTGTGTGGGTGGTGAACCTGCTGCATGGCCAGACAGCGGACTCCCAGAGCAACCAGAGCCAGGGGAACTAGGACCCACTCACAGCTGGGCGGCCCCCACGGAAGGCGGCAGTGACATGAACCAGAAATGGGTCTTCAGCCACGTGACAGAGGTGAACAGGGAAGAGACCAGGACCCTCCAGGCTACCTCAGACATGGGCCTGGCCGTGCAGCAGCAGGAGGGAGCCACCAATGCTTCCTACACCTTCTCATCCATGGCGCGGGTCCGAATGGAAGAGAATTTCATACAGAAGGCAGAGGCGCCAGGGCCCCAGCTGAAGGGCAAGGTATATGATTACTATGTGGAATCCACTTCCCAGGCCACATCCAAGCGGGCCTCCAGGACAGCAGCTCTGGCTGAATCTGCCTCCCCTGGGCCAGTGCTAGAGCCCCTGGGAAGAGGAGCATCCTCCAGGGGCCAAGCTAGTGATACAGAAGATGGGGCCAAAGCATGGGCCTCCCCACAGCTGGAGCTGTCACCCTCTGCACATGGCTTCAGCAGGAAGGAGAGTCTCCTGCAGATCGCAGAGAACCCAGAGCTCCAGCTCCAGCCCGACAGCTTTGGGGCACCTGCTCCAGCTCATCCAGACCAGGGAACCCTGCCGAGTTCATCCGCGTGCGGTGGGGAATCCCACATACAGCTGGTGGCTATGACCAATATCTTCCACATCCCGCTCAGCCCTGCTTCCACCCTGGACATCTGCCTGGATCTGGGCAATTGCTATGAGGTGCTGACCTTGGCCAAGAGGCGGGACCTGGAGGCCCTCAAGGAGGCAGCCTACAAGGTGATGAGCGACAACTACCTCCAGGTGCTCCGCAGTCCGGACATCTACGGGTGCCTGAGTGGTGCAGAGCGGGAACTGATCCTCCAGCGACGGCTCCTTGGCCGCAAGTGCCTGGTGGTGGCTGACATGTGCCCCCAGGAAGACTGTAGCCGCCTCTGTTGCTATGACGAAGAACAGGATGCCTGGTACCCACTGGCCCAGCTGCCCCCTGAGGCTGTGTCCCGGGGATGTGCTGTCTGCAGCCTCTTCAATTATCTCTTTGTGGTGTCTGGTTGCCAGGGGCCCGGGCACCAGCCCTCCAACCGTGTCTTCTGCTACAACCCACTGACAGGGATCTGGAGTGAGGTGAGTTCCCTGAACCAGGCCCGGCCTCACTGCCAGCTGGTAGCCCTGGATGGCCACCTGTATGCCATTGGGGGAGAGTGTCTGAACACAGTGGAGCGTTATGACCCTCGCCTGGACCACTGGACCTTTGCCCCACCACTCCCCAATGACACTTTTGCCCTGGCGCACACGGCCACGGTGTGTGCCGATGAGATCTTTGTCACAGGCGGCACGCTGCGCTACCTGCTGCTCCGTTTCTCCGCCCAAGATCAGCGCTGGTGGGCCAGCCCCACGGGCGGTAGCAAGGACCGCACGGCCGAGATGGTGGCTGTCAACGGCTTCCTGTACCGCTTTGATCTGAACCGCAGCCTGGGCATCAGCGTGTACCGCTGTAGCGCCACCATGCGGCTCTGGTACGAGTGCGCCACGTTCCGTTCGCCTTACCCGGACGCCTTCCAGTGCGCCGTGGTGGACACCCGCGTCTACTGTGTGGGGCGCTACCGCACACTCTGCTTCCTGGCCGACCACGTCTCACCCAGGTTTGTGCCCAAGGAGCTGCAGCACTTCCCATCTCCACGGGGCACCCTCCTGCCCACTGTCCTGACCCTGCCTGGCCCTGACGTGCTTCAGACCAGGGTCTAGCAGCCCCTTTGCCAGTCTCCCCAAGACAGATCAGAAGGCAGAGCCCCAGCCCTGCCAATCACTCTGGGAGAGCAGAAATTTGGCCATAAAGAGGGGAATTTTAGCCCCACCTCCTCTGGCTTCGGGGTCCCAGATGGGTCTTTCCCCTCTATGGGCTGCAGAAGCCTGCTTCACAGAATAGTGACGCTAGGGACCAGCCTTCCGAAGCAGAAGGTATCACATCTGCATGGATGATCACCATCTTGCTTCAGATCTCAAATCTTGAGGGCTACACCAGGACCCCATTGAAGCTTAGCTTATCCAACCACAGCTCTAGGTGTCCTCAGAGGCCCCTCAACCTATCCCTCTGGAGATGGGCCAGGCCTCTGTGAGCCTCCAGGCCCCTTCCTAAACATGAGTCACTGGGCCCCACCTTTAATGTACCCAGAAGCACCTGGGGCACAGGTGGGAAAAGTTGGGGGGGGGGGTTAGGCAGGACTGGAAAGAGCTGGGGGTTCAGGCAGAAGGAGAGAGGGTTGAAGCTGTTGATCGGCTGAAGTTGCAGGTGCCCACAGTCCTCTCGTCTGCAGAGTAAATTTACCCAACCCTATTTCTTCTTGTTCCTGGAATTCTGTATACTGGAAGGAAGAGAAACTAACCATCTTCTTATAGAGGTCTACTCAGAATATGATCGATTCTGTAAAGAACAAAGTCTCAGGAAAGGGAAGAGCTGACGTGATTCAAAGCCACCTTCTTCCTAGACCCCTGCTCATATCCGCTGTTCCCTGACTGCAGCATTCTTGCCCCGGACCTCTGAATCCTTTAGGTGACCAGCCTCTGTCTGGAAGTGAGGAAGCCACTACCTGTCAGTGTTTCAGGACTGGGGAGAGGGCACAGCAGGACGGCCCCCCCTCCGCCATGTGGTCACCTGATTAGGCTCGTCGGTCAAGGGAGGACCAGGGAGGGCCCGATCTATCATAGAGCTGCAGAGCTGGAGGGTTCTGCTGGAGCATCCAGAGATTCCTTTCGCATCAGCTTTGGTAAATTCTGAACGGTACCCATTCTTCCCAGAAGGAAGGGAGACGGGTTGGTCCACTCTACCCCCATAGCCCTTATTCCCTCTCTGAGAGACAAAGATCTTGGCCCCAGCCTGGAGCAGGGGACATGGGACAGGGCCTGACAGATGAGAAGATAGCAATGCCTTGGATCTCAGTGTTCTGCAGAGTTCTTCCCAAATTGCAGGTGGTCCCAGCAGGAGCTCAGGCCCACTGTAGATGTTGGGCTGGGGCTGGAGTCTTTTGAGAAGATGCAGAATGAGAGCACAGAATGGGAAAGAGGTTGGAATGGAGATGAGAAGAAAGCTTTTATTGGATCACACAGGCCACCGTCCCTAGTCTAGGGCATGGGAAGATGAGACAGCTAAATTTATTCCTAAATTGGAGACTGGGAAGGAAAGCCAGCTGGGACCATAGCTGGGCCCTGGGGAGAGAAATACTCAGGCATGGGCCTCCGAGGGGTAGGAGCAGGAAGGATGCTTTCAGTGATGAGACTCAAAGGAGACACTGACATTGTGATTTCAAGTAGAGGAGGGTGTGCTTGGGAGGCAAAGCCCATCAGGAAGCTGGAGCAGCTGGACCCAAGCCCAGGCCAAAGGAAGGCCTCTGGTGAGCAGCAGGAGAAGGAGAAGCTGGGTAAAGTTCAGGAAAGGTTCCAGACCCAGGAAGGACAAGGGAACACTCTAGGTACACATTTGGAAGCCCATTGCATACCATAGGTGGGGACCACAGAGATGACTGCCAGAGGAAGGCAGCAAAATTTGTTCCAGCCCCCAGTTAACAGTGGGTGTGACTGTCATGGTGAGGGGGAGAGCTGAGATTAGGCTGGTTTGAGATGACAGGTACACAGTACAGCTAATCTACTTCCCTTATGATCCCATGGCAGACATCACTAATCAATGGCCTATCTTTTCGAGTCCTTATAATGACCTCAAACTATTCCCACCCAGTGTGCCAGAGGTCATAGTCATTACCAATAGATCAGAGCTGGTGTACTTATAATCACTGATCTGGGTCTCTGGAGCTAGGTTTAGGAATGGAAATGTTCAGGACATCAGAGTGAAGCAAGGTAGCTCTGGAAACCTGAAAAGACCCTCAAGGGGCGTGATGCCAGGATCCATCCAATCACTGGTGAAATAAGCATTTATAGACTATTTGGGCCAGGCACTGTTGTAGGGACTGGTGATATAGCAGATCTCTGCCTAGTTTTGTAAAACAAGCATAGAGATGAATATTTACAACCCATGTCACTAAGGGAAAAGGCGAGGGAAGGGACTGCTCTTTCAAACAGTGTGACCAGCCTCCTTGATGGGATGGAATCTGAGCAGGAGCCCCAGTGGAAATCTAGGAGATGCACAGGCCAGGAAGGGGAAAGGCCACTCTTGCCACACCATGCCAGCTGGAGAGAACAAGGCTGCTTCCCTGGTGTGCCATCTTGGTGTAGAGGAAAGGCCCAGCTATTCTGATTGGGCCTTGCTACACGGGAAAGAATTCGATCACACCAACAATTGTGAAAGAGACATCTTGTGTGGAACAAGCTACATTCCCCAGAGAGAAGCAGAGTTCACACATTCAGGGAAGAGAGCCAAGGTAATACCAGGATGTTACAGACGTCATATCTAGCTTGCAGCTGAGTAACAGAGCAACGATGTCTTTTTGCGGGATCAGAGGCTAGGATTTCCATTTGACCTGGTTTAATAGCCTGGGGTCTGTGACCTCTTGCTCTTAGAGCAGAGTGGCCTCTATCACTTGGCTTTTAGTGGATATCTGTCTTGCTTTTCCAATAAGAGTTCTTTCTTCTTTAGAAAAAAAAATAATTAAGTCTGAGTTGCTTTCCATTTTAAGCCAGCCTTGTCTGTTATAGAAAAAAATGGAAAATAGAGAAAAGTATATATAAAGAAAACTCCTCATTTTGCCACCCAAAGATATCCCCTCCCGTGGCACATGCCTCCCTCTGCCCTTCTTCTGTGCCGTTTTTGTTCAGCTCGATTTTTGCCTAGGAGTGATTATGCTGAGTGTACAATTCGGCTGCTTCCTCTCTTCACATAGCATTTTAGAATAAGCATTTTCCCGTGTTATTACAAACCCTCAGTAAACATCATTTCAATAGTTGCACAATATTCCGCCGAGTGAATGTATCACGGTTTATTTAAACATTCCTCCCTCCTGTTGGGCCTGCGGGTTTTTTCCCCCGGTTGGTTTCTTTCTGGATCATAAATAAAACCTCCTTTGTTTTCTTGTCTCCTTTCTGGGGCTTCTATCAATATTTACAAGAAAAGCCCAGCCTAGGTCCTGTCTGGAAGAGCAGAGTCGCTGAAACAGAAGCCAGAGCATTTGCCTACAGCTGGGGCTGTGGCTGGGCTGCTCTCTGTCTATAGCACGGTACTGAAAAAAAAAAAAAAAATTAGAAAAACCTCATATTTTAGACCACTCAGGTTCAAGGCTGTCAGGTTCTGCTTTCCTCTTGTAGTGAGGGGTAGTTCCAGATCGACTGACTTGCTGATCTGAGGGTCTCGAGGCTCAAAGCACTAACCCTTTTCCTGGACTGGAGAACGGTAGAGCTTCAGAAGTGCTCAAAGGTCCTTGGAAGCCCTGAGAAGCTGCCAGGTGCAGGGAGCTCCTTTCCCTTACGGATGGGGAGTAGCCACCCCGTGGGGCCCGGAAGAACCAGACTGTGTCTTAGTTGCATATTTGGAGCAGCAGACAGGCTGTGCCTGGCTGTCATCCTCCATCCAAGGAGGAGGTGGAGACATGGATTTTATACCAACAAGAGCAGTGTTCTCGGCACCAGGCAGAGCCTTGTGGCCCTGTCCCGCTCACCACCCCCAGGAGTCTCCTGAAGCTGTGGCTGCAGCCAGGAGCAGCCCCCTAGGCAGGTGCGAGGCTGCGGGCAGAAGGAGGAAGATGAAACATCAGGAAGGAGATGCCTTCGGGGAACCGGGAGCAGAAGAAAGAAATGAAGCTTCTACAAATAGCTCCTGGCCTCCGGTCGTTTGAAAGGGGGTTGTGGGTCAAAATAAAACAAAAATGAGAAGCTATTGAGTCTTGCTTGCCTTTTTGCGCGCAAGGAGGACGTGGAGACATGGATTTTATACCAACAAGAGCAGTGTTCTCGTCACCGGGCGGTGTGCAGACCCACTGGGGAGGAGATGAGCACAGGTCCCTCACTGTGTCCTTGTGGCCGGCGAGGGCCAGTCATCCTCACGGTACAGAGAGAAATGGACCAGGCTCTGCCTAAAGTTCAACATGAGTGTTCAATACCTATTGAGTTAAATGATTATTAATAATTATAACACCAGTCTTTTTATTACTAAAATCCTAGAGGACAGAAAGGTAATCATTGTTAATTCATTTATTGACACTCAAGGCTCGTAGTCTCTTTAATCATACGAGCTCATTAGTTTTAAACTAATTTTTATTTTTATTTTGAGACAGGATCTTGATACATGGGCCAGGCTGGGCTTAAACTTTTAATCCTTTTACTTCAGCCTCCCAAGGCACTGGGATTACAGATGTACGCCACTACTCCTAGATTTATTTTCTTTTTTAAGAGACAAAGTCTTACTATGTTGTCTGGGCTAGCCTCAGAGTCCTAGAATCAAGTGATCCTCCTGCCTCAACCTTCTGAGTAGCCAGAACTACAGTCACATGCCACCACTTTTGGTTTCTGGTGTCTCATTGTGTATTCAAGACAACCAAGGCAGATAGCAAAACTGGCCAAATTCTCCCCTTCCCATCATCCTCTCCACCACTGGCCTCTGACCACGTGACTTGCTTTGGCCACCCTGAAACAGTAGCACACTTCATATAGCAGAGGCTTTTCTCCCTCATCACTCTTGGAAACCCTGAGACTGCCACCGTGGGGACAAGCCCAGGTTGGCCTCTGGACAATGACAGCCACATGACCCAGTCACCCCACTTAGCATCCAGCTAAACACCTGACCAGTGAGTGAGGCCACCCATCACCCACTGACCACAGGACCCCCAACAAACCCAACCAAGACCAGCAGACGATGCACCTGGCTGAACCCAGCCCAGACCTCTGATCTACAGATACAAAAGAGGAACAGATGGCTGTGGTCTGAAGCCACTGAACCTGGGCTGGTTCTCAGCGCAGCCCCCAATGAGTAAGTGGTCAATCATCCTGTGAGGTATGCTCTAGGGTCACAGTTTCAAAGCTAAGGAATCTAGAGCTCCAGAAAGCAAAGCAGCCTTCCCAGGTTCTCACAGCTGCAAGGAAGCTGAGCTGGGAAGCCACCCCAGGTCTACCTCACTGCAATTCCTCAGTTCTTCCTCATCCAGCCACATGTTCCGGCTCTATTCTACCCAGAACCAGGGGTCGGGGTCTCACCCAGGGGGCAGCTATGAGGCCTGGTTTCAATCCTCCGTCATTTTCAGAGGACTAGGTCTTCTCCACAACCCAGGAACCAGTGGACATAGGAGGACAACTGTGAACCGGCTCAGAGGAGCATCTAGAAAGACCAAAAGATCAGCTCCTTGAAATATCACTGCTAACTCCTGCTGAGTGGCAGACTCTGCTGCGGACACTTCACTTGCAGTAATTTATTTAATCCTTAAAACAACCCTCTTTGTTAGATATTTACTATTTCACAGATGGAGAAACTGAGGCACAGAGTTGAACTTGCCCAAGTTTACACAACCAGGAAGTGATGGCGACCACCAGGCCAGGGCTGCTCTCCAGTGTCAGGGGTGGTAAATCAGCCGTGACAATGGGGGGCTTTGCTTATCTCCCTTTTAGGGAGATAGAGTTACCTTCTAGGGAGATAGAGAACCCTTTTAGAGTTGGTGGGTCCAGGCTTTATGTGGACACCCTGTGAGCAGGGCCCTTGACCGTCCAACCTGCTTGGTTTTGTTCACCTTGGTGTCTCCAGTGTCAGATCTGGGATCTGGCTCAGGGCAGGAGCTCAGTGATATGTTATTGGAAGAAAGAATCAAGGTGGTGTCACTCACGAGGATGCCCAGCTTCCAGGCTGCCCAGACCCCTCTTGGTGATCAGGACCCTGACTCCCTGCTGATGCTTAGGGAGACCTTGGAGCATCTTGGCATGGTATCCCTGGCACCGAGGTTGGACCTCTAAAGTCCTGAGGCCACTTTCCACAAGTCACCGCCTTGTCACTGTGGGACCAACTTCAGATCTATTCTCTGCCCATCTCGCAGATGGAATGAGTCTCAGAGTTCTTGCAGCTGTGAGTACATCCTCCAAGGATGTGAAAACACAGCCTGTGATGGCCTCATGGGGCAGCCTGGCATCACCTGGGGGTTCAGCATACCCTGGAGGAGACCCAAGCAGTGACAGGAAGATGGTGCTGATGTATAGATACCCAGTTCCCTCAGCCCCGGGGAAGACAGCTTTGATGTTCTGCACCAGCTCCCAGATGCCCCTGTAAGACTGAACCACAGTCATCTCTGGTAGTAGTGATTGCATAGTATTTCTCTCTCTCTCTCTCTCTCTCTCTCTCTCTCTCTCTCTCTCTCTCTTTCTCTGTGTGTGTGTGTGTGTGTGTGTGTGTGTGTGTGTTTTACTGGGGACGAACCCAGAGCCTTCACACTAAACTGTTCTCCAATCCTAAGTAGCCTCCCTAAGTAACTATTCTCCAACCCTAACTGGCTTCCTTAAGTAGCTGAGTTGTTCAAGTTGGGCTTGAATTTGCAATACTCCTGCCTCTGCCTCCCAGAGTGCTGAGATTCCAGGCCTAGGCCATCACTCTGGGCTGATGATATCCTTTTAATAAAGTCACATCTGACCTCCCTGTGGATCCTCCCTTTGCTCTTCCTTCCTTCATAGATCCTAGAGGAGGTTCACTCCCTCTTGCCTCCTCCAGGACTTCACATCAGGAATACCGGCTGTCTGTCCCTAACTCTAGAGGGTTCCTAAAGGTGCTTCCTCTAGAAGCACCTTTTGGATGGGCTCTAGCATTATCCATCTTAAAAGAAAAGCCACTTTCAAAGGACTGGCCTGGTAATACAATAAAGAAACTAAGGGTGTGCATCAGGAGGGTAAAAATACTACACCCTACGTTAAAGAGGCTGTCTTTCCTCCAGCACAGCTTTTTGACCCCTTTGCCAAAAGTCAGATGGCTGAAAGTGCCTGGGGTTGTTCTGCATCTTCTATTCTGTTCCACTGATCCATGAGTCTGTTGTTGTTTTATTTTTGCCAATGCCATGCTGTTTTCATCACTGTAGCTTTGTAGTATAACTCTAAGTCAAGATGCACCTTGAGACCATAACATTAAGTGAAATAAATCACACATAAGCTTAAATATCCCATAGTTTCCCTTACTATGAGAAACCCAAAATATAAAGTGCAAAAGAAAAGATTGATATGAGCAAATGAGAAGAGGACAAAGAGATGGAGTGAGTGGGGAGGGGGATAGGGATTTAAAAAAATAATTAAGATGTGTTATGTACATATACCTACTTCTCACAAGGAATGTGATTATTATGTACTACAAAAATGTACTAATTAAAAAACTTAAAACACTACACCCATACAATTGGCTGCTATTGGTAACAAGTGTCAAAGGGTGCCATTTTATTCTGTCCTTGAGGACAGTTTGTCCTCTACAGATTGTTGATTATTGTCGCTACAATTGCATTTGTTTCATCCCATCCTACAGCCTTTACCTCATGAGTAATAGGAGAGCTCAGTCTACACTGGCCTCGATTTGAATCACAATAAACTGAGTGAATCCTTCAACCCACCTTCTGGAACCAAATTGAATCTGCAGAAGTCCAAACCCAGCACTACCCACCTGGTGGAGTCAAGTATCTAACTTAGACGGTGCCTAGAAATGAGTGAAGCCACAGCTCTCCACCCTCTGCTCTCTGCCCCTCTGCCCACACCCTGTCCCAGGATCACGCAGTGGACTGGTCAGTGGGGTGGTGGCAAATCATGGCTATACCAATCCCAAGAAAGCTCAGGCAGCAGTGTCTCCAAACTCACTGCTTTAACACACACACACACACACACACACACACACACACACGCACACACACATGCACGCACTCACACATACACATTTTTTATTGTGGTAAGATACCCATAACACAAAATTCACCATTGACACCACCAAATGTGCAATCCAAGACCATTAAGTATCTTCCCCATGTGCACCTACTTATGTTTTATCAGCTCACAAAAGAGCCACAGCATCTATTTTAGAATATATAATTGGAAAAACATAGAGAAGCCCAAGAAGAGAGTAAAGATCATCCTTCTCAGAAATAATCCGTTATCATTTTGATTTCTTATTTGCAGTTTCTTATTATCCATAATTTTAAAAAATAAAAAATGTAGTCTTACTCTCTGCATGGTGTGGAGCTGACTTTTCCTCCTGTCAGAATATTATGACTACTTTTGGGTCATATATATATATATATATATATATATATATATATATATATAAAATTGGGTTTCTTTTCATTGTGATAAAACATGCAAAATGTAAAATTCACCATTTTGGCTATTTCTAAGGGTTGAACTGGGGGGGCATTAAGTACTTCTTTTTTTTTTTTTTTTTGGTTTTTCTCCGGTACCGGGAACCGAACTCACGACCTTGCGCTTGCCAGGTAGGCGCTTTTGCCGCTGAGCTAAATCCCCAGCCCTGGCATTAAGTACTTCACATGTCATGCAAACCCTGTACCCATCTCCTGATTTTTCCCATCACCCCAAAGGGAAGATCTGTCCCCGTGCAAGCTAAGCGCCTCCATTCCCCTCTCCACTCCACCCCTCACGAATACAAGTTCTCTTTACCTTTGGAAAACACCTTTTCCAAAGATGAGGACATTCTCTGTTCCAGCAACAAAGGTAATTGGGAATGTGCCTTAAGCGCAAAGAGAAACTGGTTTTTATCCATTTTGGATGATTCCACAAGTGACGCAACATCCTGCTCCGTGGGACGCTTCGGGGCAAGAGAATCTGATAAATAGCTTCTTTCTCAAAGATACTGTGTTCTCTCTCATCGCCACCAGCAAGACAAAGGGAAAAGCACTCTCTCTCTCCTCCTTGTGCTTCCTC